TCTCCCCCCTCGACGCGGAGCGCGTGCAGACTCCACCAGACGGCACAAGATCGATATCACGGAAATGAAGTGACGGGAAAGACCTGAGGAAGTCGGGGTGTATGTGAGACGGATGGCTTGTCAGAATGGAGGATAAAATGCATGGATCAGCTTCTTTTTATAATGATAGGGCCACGAAGGACGAGAATGCCTTGCGAGCGAGCTTGTATCTCCACAAGCTTTCTTTCGCAAATCCCCTGCCCATGGCACGTCAGGAGGAAAGAAGGATGTATAAATACCACAATTAAACATACCATTCACCCCCTATCCTGTACCTCAGGCTTTTTTTGATCCACATTAATATTTATATACGAAAAGGAAGATAGAAAAGGGGGCGCGTATTGAAGAAAATAAAGAGATTAAGGGGGGCCGTATCTGCATGTGTGCATTTCAGCGGTCTATTCTCTTCTGTGGGCCGTCTGCCATTTGTATCCGGGATTGTTTTGCGAATTGTTGTGTAATTGTGCTCCGCTACACCGCGGATAACGTAAGGGCGATGAAAGATTGGGAGCGAGAATCGGGTATGGTTCGAAGAGGAAGACTGATAAGGACGGGGGGTTGCATAAGTGGCGTCTGTTTTTTTGAGATTTTAAAAAAGCGTTGAACGACGTCCCTGCCGTTTTCCTTGTATTCTTATGCTCGTCGAGAATGAAAGACTGGACTATTTCTTCAACGAAGTTGTCAGCAAGCCACCGTACACATTATAAATGAAGTGTTTGAATGTTTTTTGCTTTCATACCGCTGAAGTAGACCTGAAACTGCGTGTTAAGACCATGAGAAAATTGGAAAAAAATATAACCGGAAACACGACAAGTATGTTACTTGCCAGCTGCTTTCGCGCATTTTTGGGGGAAATTTTCCTCCCTTCAATTTGTGCTAGATTGGCCAAATTGTGGATGTGTTGACTCCTACAGACATTTTTTCCCACGTACATAGATTTCATCGAAGGTAGAAAGGAAATCTACTACTCAAATCATTTGACACTGGAATTGCATGATTTGAAAGATCAGGGCATTTTTTTCATGGGGCCCTGTCAGGCCCCTCACGTCAATGACGCTTTTCATTCACCTCAGGCATAACAGTTGGGTTTTTTTTCCCTCGACAATGAGGCCTCTGTCCCATCAATATGTAGAGATGTAAACATAGCTTTCTCGCTCGCCCCTATAAACAAGCAGGGGAAATTTGGGGCTTTGTTCACCTAGCCAGCGTGCAAAATACCAAATTTGTTCTTTTTTCAGCAGTAGTACAGCCTCTTAATGAGTTTCGTTGTTCACATTCATTCTTAGCTGTATATGTACGTATGTGAAGTCCCACTTTGAAAATGGGAATAACTCAGGCGCCTCCGATTCTTTGTAGAGCCACAAGCTCAGGGTCAAATACTTGCTTTCGAATGATGCCCTAGGTCTCGCTAGACCCTTCACTTTTATATACTTGACCCCGTTTACGCTCATAGTTAGGGTACAATGAACGACCTGGAATCAATCGAAAATGATGTACCTCCATTTGACCAAGATTCTCGGTAAGCCCACAAACGTGTCAATACCCTTTCTTCCAACACATATCGACCCTAATGCCGTGGCGGGACGGGTTTCTGAGCATTTCGCTATTTCTTATTTTCGTCTTTATTTCGCTAGTCCTTTGTTTCATTTTGTTGTTCCTTTTTCTTTTTTCCTGTCTTTATTCCGCAATTTCTATATTTTGGTCTCAAATTCTCTCCCTCGAATGCACTCCTTCCCTTTCCCTTCTTTCTATACAGGGTTCTTTTTCTCCGACAACGCCTCCTGTCCTCGTTCAGTGGAAAACACAAGGCCCCGCAGCCTGGTCACAGAGATAAGGGAAGAGGAGACGGCAGGAGTACCTTCGACAAAGCATTCTACAGCGAGGAGAACGTGAGCAAGCTCCACGAGTTTCTAGAAAACGACGAAAAATGCTTTTTGTTGGTACGTCCGGGAGAGGGAAGGGGGAGCAGGAGACAAAAGGACAAGGACGGAACATGGGAGGTATCCCAGACCAGGGAACTACTCTTCAGCACCTGGCCTGTCCGTTGACTGCGAGCCTGGTCTCTGCGAGGGCTCTGGAGGCAGGGCGCGTGCTTGGAAAGCGATCATTTGATATGGCTATTTCAGAAAGCTTCGAATCGAGGCTAAAATGCCATGCTTTCACATCAGGGAAGGTTCAAGGTCGTGCCCATATAATCTTCCTATCTAAACAGGCCCCTGAGAGTCTCAAGCTTGAGACCCTCATGCCCCGGAAGCTCGGCAAATGCAAACACGTCCTCTTCCTCAAGCTTTTCCCCACCTCTTCCACTTCCACCTCCGCCACGTCCCCTTTCCCGCCCTCCTCCTCCACTCCTTCCTCCCCCCTCCCCCCACTGGAAACGGCTGTCCTCGTCCTTGAGCTTTCTGGTCCCTCCCCCCTAGAGAATTTGGAGCGGCTTCTCTATGAAATCTATCTCCCCCTCTTGACCAACCCGCAAAACCAAGCCAAATGGGGAGAGATGGCGACCAAGCAGGTGAAGGAGGGGAGGAGGGAGGGAGGCAGGGAGGAATGCGACAGGGAAGGGGTCAAGTTTTAGCATCTGTGCGAACGTAACTGAAGGGACTTAGGAGGAGCATGAGGACGTTTTTTTCCAGGTCTAGTCTGGACATGATCAGCCCTTCCGTCGCGGGGGAAACTCCGGGTAGTCTTTCCAGCGCATGCCCTCCTCGTGACGCAAGCGGCCGTCGCTTCTCTCCGATGCAATCCACAATTTGTGTGTGGAAGGCACCCAACCCCCATACCCTCCCATACTACCCCTTCCGCCAGCCCACTCTCCTCGACGCCTGATAAACGAAGATCCCTTCAGACCGGACCCTGATCTGCATGGGCGCCTTACCCCCCCTTTTTCGCGCCCTCCTACCACGCAGGTGATAGACCGCTTCTTTACCTTCCTCTCCGCTATGACCATGTTGAGCGGTCAAGTCAAGGGACAGATCCGCCTTCCCATGCCACCTATCGACGGACTCCTTGGGCCTCCGTCTGCCGCCGGGGAGGCTGTCCTGGCAGCCAGTGGAGGCAATTTGTGAGGAGGGAGGGGAGGAGGGTGGGTGGGAGGAAGGTGGGGGGCAGAAGAAGGAGGGAACGGGAAATAGACGAGGGAAGAGAAAAATGGACGCGACATTTTGTTTAAAAAAGAAATTGAACAACGGATCCTCGCTTGTTTCTCGCCTACACACAGGGGGGGAGGCCCTGGGCCAGTAGGGGGGGGCAGCCGCAACCGGTTAGCCCTATTGGAAAGCGCCGTGGCGCTCTGGACAAAACAGGTGCGCCTTCAGCCTGCTTCCATCGTCCTTGAGACGCTCTTTTTTGTCGGTGTGCATGGGCCCGCGTGCGGAAGGATGGGGTCATTTCCCCCTTTCCTCATGCCTGCTTGCCTCGTCCTCGTTTCCTACTTCGGACCCATTTCTGCTCGTTCACACCCTCCCACTCCCTTCCCTTTGACTTTCTTCGCATAGATCCGGCAGGTTCTGCGACAGGATCCCGAAAGTCTTCTCAAACAAGGTATAGTACTATGTACGATACATTGTTAGTGCAGATGAGCAGCGTGAGAAAAGTCCTTTGTGTATGTATCTTTATCGGTGCAGGTGTATGCGTCAACTGATACGTGTAGACAGAGCAATGGCTTTCGCCTCCTCACGTTTCGTCAAAATTTCGATCCTTTCCATTTACCCCCCCCCCTCCCTTCCTTCCCTGCCCGCCTTCCGCTTTCTCCCCACAGGCCTTCAACCCACCCCCGACGTGGAAATCACATTCTGGAAGACCAAGGCCTCCAAGCTGAACGCGGTCTACGATCAACTCCAGTCCCAGCGGGTGAAAAAGGTAAGGCGCGCATTCCAAGCGCTCTTCTCGGTGCAATGGAGGGGTACGGATCAGGTGTGGTCTGTCCTCTTGTGCGAACCGGCCCGTGAACATGGAAAGGGCTGTGCGGGTACGCTTTGCCTGGTGTCAGCCCATTGGTCCGACTCAAGCTTCTCGATCTTCTCCACCCCACGTTTGGTGTACGTCTTTAACCTCTCCTTCCTCCTCGTTATCCCCCTCCCCTCGTTCTCTTGCTCCGCGTCCCCAGGTACTCAAGGTGTTGGAGCAGGCGCAATCTACCTACATGGCCGCCTTCCAGCGTCTCTCCAAAGAGATCTTCACGGCTCGGCTCGAAGCCAATGACAACAGGTGCGGCGGATCGGAATGGATAAGGGATGTGGCAGAAGAGCAGGAAAGGAAAAGGATGTGTTGGTAAAGAGAGAGGAAGGGAGGAAGCAAAAGGAAAATTTTGAAAATGTCGGGGTCGTAGCATGAAGAAGCAAGTGGAATGAGGTGATGAACGAGGCTTGCCGTGTTCCTCCCTCCTCTCTAATTAAACAAGGAATATCGAAGGAGCCGTCCAAAGAAAGTGTGCTTGTATAGAGCGCATGCACATCCCAACCCTTCTCTCGTTTTTCTCCTGTACGTCGGCTCCAGCAAATACCTCCGCCCCCTGGAAGCCTGGATCACACGGCTTCAGGACGAAAAGAACGGCACCGAGGCCCGCTTTCCCACCCTTCCCACCCTCTTTAAACCAATATTACATATTGTACTCTTGGTAAGTGAGGGAATGGATCAAGACCTTGAACAAGATTGGGTGGTGAGAGGAATGGAGGGAGACAATAAACAAAGTGGAAGAATGAAGAAAAACGTGCAATTAAGCGAGTCATTGCGAAGATAACGAGCAAAACTTAGAAAAAATAGATCCAACAGTAGAAAAAAGGCAACGAAAAAGGCCTCACAAAAATTGGGCGGAGCAGTTGAAAGATAACACTGACTCGGGGTCGGGACGACAGGGTTTTAGTAGTGGTATCAACGTTTCGCGCTTTCCTCCCGTCCTTCATGCTTGGCAGATATGGAAGAACAGCAAACATTACAACACACCCGCCCGGTTGGTCGTACTGATGCGAGAGCTCTCGAATTCTGTGATCCTTCAGGTAAGGGCAAACTCAATCATGGCACAGCTTCCTTGTGGCACGCGGGGAAGAAAGGCAGGTGACTATGTATAGGAAGATTGTATGTAGGAAGAATAAAGCACGAATGGTCAGTATTCTGTGTCACACATTTCCATTGCATCTTTATCTGCCCACTCCTCCTGGATTTTGTCTCCTTTTCAGGCACGGCGCTATGTCTCGGGCGAACAAGTCTTTGCCCATATCGAGAAAGAGGAGGCACACCGGGCGCTCGAGCAGCTTTCCACCACCCTCAGTGTCTGCACGTCCTTCAAGGAGACGTATGCCAGCTACAAGGACACGGCCACGGCAGGTGAATGCAGAGGGCAGATGGAAGGGATGTGCTTCCAGGATCGTGGTGCTTTGGCTAATTTTTTCTCGGTTCTATTCTAAAGTCGGCCCTCCTTTTCCTAGACATGAATATGCAACCAATTTGCTTGAGTACTATGTCTCTGTTTATCAATTTGAGGACCAAACATCATCCTACCGGCAGGCAGATGATACTGAGGATAGACTCTTTTTAATACATTTGTCTTTCCTGCCACTTTGGATGTTGCATTTCCCCCTCCCACTTATGCGGAGGGTCTTTTGGTTTGGCTGGAGAGCATTGACTTACTCGTTCCGTTCGACTTACTCTCACCGTATATCTCTTTTTCCCGGATTTTCTTCCCCATACTTTCTGCCCTCCGGACCGCGGTCTGTCTTTCAGAATGTCCTCATAACCCATGGCGCATCCAGCACGGAGCCCTCTTCGGTCGTCTCGAGCTCTTCATCGAACGCATCGCCAGTCTCATTGACATAACACGCACACTCATATCTTTTAATAAACTGGCTAAGGTGAGTAGCGAAGGGGAATCGAGGGGAAAAGCTCAAGCTCTCGAAATCGTAATAGTATTCCCAGCCCCATTGGCGTAGCATGTACGCGCCTTTGCAGGACTCAGAATCGTCACACAATAGTCGGAGGGCCGCTACAAATCAATGAGATCGGGTCCTTGTCTTTTCTTTGCTTTCCGCGCTTCCCCTCACGCCCCCTCCACCCTTCGCGGCAACTCCCTTTGTCCGCATTCACAACCCCCCCCCCGTTTACAGGTGGAGGTAGGAGGGATAAAGGGCCGGGCTGTGACGGCAGGGGTCAGACAGGTCCATGATGATTTCCTCGCGGCAGTCCAGCGGGTCCGGGAAGTGCCCTACGACCTGATGGAGGTGCAGGCCGCCCAATTTCAGGTAATAAGCGTGACTTTTTTCGAGAAGAGCAGTCACGAGTTTGACTGCTGCGGCGATTTATTCGCAGTGTCCTAATGATATATATACTGGATCCATGACCCATGATGCCACGAGAGCTACCTTTTTGAAGCGCTGAATTCGAACGATTCTACTTTTCCTTTCTCCCATGCCACCGAGATGACCCTGACTCCTGACCACATCCATCTTAGGAGGACTACGCGCAATTCAAAGAGCAAGTCCAAGACTTGGACCGTCGGCTAGCTTCTCTGATTGCCCTTGCCTTCGACGAATGTGCGACGATTCTCCGCCGCTTCAAAGTGCTGGATTCTTTCGAGGGCCTCCTCAACCGCAGTATTATTGAGGATGAACTCGAGGTAGGGAGGAAAGCATGGATTGGTGCTGCGTAGCAAAGTCGTCGTATGACATTGGAAAAGAAGGGATCGAAACTGGTGCGACTGCATGCATTTTCATGAAAAAGGGCCAGGAATAACTGCTACCCCTAGAGGCTATCATTCAACATTTTCAGCCGTTCCGTCTAAGCTTATGATGCGACCTTGTTCTCCTCCCGTGGCACTATACCCAGAAAAAATACATCCTCTTGGTGCAAGCCTACGCCCAGGACCTTCGGGTTGTCCACGAAATATTCCTCCGCCACCGAGAGAGCCCCCCGGTGCCGGCCCACTATCCGCCGGTCGCGGGCGCACTGGCGTGGTCCCGGGGTCTGATTGAACGGGTCGGCGCCCCGCTTCCCAAGTTCCAAGCTTTAGAGCAACAGCAGCCTCATGTTTGGGCGCGAGAAGAAACCAAAGACGTAGTGAAAGCTTCGCGGGCCCTGCTGACCACCCTCCAGGATTACGAGGCCCGCAGTGCGGATGCCTGGAGCAAAGATGTCGAATCTTCCTCGCAGAGCAAGTTGCAATTGCCGTTGCTCATCCGAAACTCAAAAACGGAGCACTTGGCGGTTAATTTTGACCCGGTTTTGGTCCGTCTGTTGCGGGAAGTGAAATACTTCCGGCTTTTGAATTTGCCGGTCCCCGCCCCAGCCATGGGTGTGTACCAGCAGGTGGAAACGTTTCGACGCTGGACCGGAAACTTGGAACTGATCGCGCACACGCACAACGCGTCCTGGTCGGCGTTGCACCCTGTGGAAATGCCCTTGGTCCGGCCGTATCTGGATCAGTTCAATCAAGTGGTGCAGACGGGTCTAGGAGCTTTGCAATGGCAGAGCGAGGAGGCTCTCGTCCAGGATTTCTTGGTGGAAGCGCTGGCTAAAGTGCAGGGCGTCGAAGCCGTGGTTCAGACTATGAAACGGAACCTCTCAACGGTGGAGAACCTGCTGCGGGAATGGGAACGGCCCATGGTGGAACGGAAAACAAAACCCGTCGAGCGGGACGAATTTGAGCGGATGCAGCGGACGATTCGGCAGGAAAGGTATGGAAAGGTCAAAGCCGCCGGCAAAGAGATTCATAGCTTGCTGAGAGAAACATGTAAAGTCCTGAACATTTCGACACCTGCCCCACCCGCGTGGCAGGCGTATGTGGACTACGTGAGCAACCGCGTGGTGGGAGGACTGACCCGGATAATCTTGGTATCCCTGCAAGCCTTGTTCAATGAGATCGATCCCGTACCTTTCTTGACCGCCGGAGGGTCGTCCACAGCCACAAACCCGCCTCCCAACCAGGCCATGGCCGCCAGTAAATTGCCTATGCTCGAGATAAAACTCACCTTGGTGGATGACAAGTTCGTGCGTTTTCTCCCGGACATTTCCTCTCCTAGCCTCAGCCCTACTCCTGGCAACAATTCGACGCTCCGGGATCTGGTGAACAATGTGGTGGCTGGTTTTTTCAACCTCTCCACGCTTTTCAAACGCTTGGACGACGCCAGCCACCAAGGCACTTACTTGCGGGAGATGCACACGGACCCACAATTGTCTCTGGCCCTGGCTCGAATCCACGAGGTGGTGGATGCGACGGAGGAATCCTGTCGGCGTCTACAGGATCGCTACGAGGAGTACGCCTCCCTGTGGACGACGGACCTTGACGCCCATTTTCGCTCCTTTTCTACCTCGGCAATAGTCCAAACACCGCTCGGCCAATCGCTCTTGAACACGGACCTCTTTGAGCAAGAAATCAACCGTTACGAGCAGCTCCAAGCCCAGGTCCTGCAAAAGCTATCTTCCCCAGTTGATATTCAGGGATGGCTTCGAGTCGACACGGCGCCCATCAAACAGGCGATCTTAGGTTGGTGTACCCGGTGGACAACCACCTATACCTCCCACATCAAGGCAACCTTGGTCACGAAATTGCGGGACATGGATGCTTTCATGCGCGAGGTGCGGTCCGGACTGGGCGTCCGTGTGGATGCCGAAGGAGGAAAAACGGCGCTGATGGAGGTCATGAAAACCATTTGTGACGTACGAAAGGCAAGCGAGCTCTTTGCGGAGGTGTGGCTACCCTTCCAAGAGTTGATCAGCACGTTGAAAAGGCATAATGTGGATGTCACCGATGTGATGATTGGAAATTCTGGCTACGATTTGCAATCTTACTTGGAGGAAGCGCCTACGGCCTGGGAGCTGCTGGTCAAGGAGACTTTTGTTAAGAAGGAGAAAATCTTACCCTTGCAGATGGCGGAGGTAGAGGTATTACGACAAGATTTGGACGGTTTCAACGTGCGTGTCCACCGGTTTCGCTCCACTTTCAAGAAAGAAGGCCCCTTCGTGTCGACCGCTCTTTCCCCGACGGCACCATCGCCGATCGGCCCTGCCCCTACGCCCCCATCCTCGCTGGCTACCACAAGTTTTGCGACCATCAACACGTTGACACTTACCTCCGCGAAGGCTTACCAAGAAATGGATGCGCAGCTCCGGCTTCTGGTGGACCTGGAGCAGGAAGCAGCAGCTTTCAACGAGTTGGAGGAATTGTTCGAGCTTCAGATCAGCAAATACCCGGAAATGGGGGAGACCCGACGGGATCTGAAGCTTTTGAAATGGATATGGGATTTCAATGCCCTTGTGGAAAAGCTCTACGAGGGCTGGCGGAGCCAGTACTGGTCAGATGTTGAGACGGAAGCGTGGCTGGAACAAAACAAGGAGCTCTTGAAGCAGCTGAGAAGGCAAGGCAACGAGTTCCAAACCCTCAAAACCTGGCACATCTACCAAGTGGTGGAAGAAAATATTACATCCATGGCGATCCTTTTGCCGCTCATCGACGAACTGCATTCGCCGGCGATGCGGGACCGACACTGGGAGGCCCTGGCTCGCCACTGCCAGGTCAGACACCTAGACCCCACCCACGCTAAATTCACGTTCGAGGATATGATCCCTCTCCGCCTGTCCGAACGTCGAGAGCTGGTGGAAGAACTGGTCAGTACGGCGGCGAAAGAATTGAAAATCGAGACGCAGTTGGGGGTCATCGTACAGGCCTGGGAGACGCTGCACTTGGACCACGCCCCACACAAAGACATGGAAACCACGGTAATCAAGCCGAGCGAGGAGGTGCTGGAGAGCCTGGAAAGCCATCAGATGGAGCTTCAGAGCATGCTGTCCGTTGACTTTTTCAAAGACAAGGTCGTGGAGTGGCAAGTGGCCTTGGGTCGCACCGAAGAGGTTTTAAAAGCCTGGGTGTCGGTCTCCAAGAGCTGGACGGCTCTGGAAAGCATTTTTTTGGCCTCGGCGGACATACGTGCGCAGCTTCCTGAGGACACGAAGCGTTTTGAAGGCATCGATTCTGAATTCAAGGAGCTGATGAAAGCGGCCATCACCACGCCGCTGGTGGTGGAGGCCTGTGGCGTGGAAGGGCGGCTTGAGTCCTTAAAAAGCATGATGGCACGCCTGGAGCTCTGTCAAAAGTCGCTCAACGAGTACTTGGACCTGAAAAAGAAGCTCTACCCCCGCTTTTATTTCGTGTCGAACGTGGCCTTGCTCGACATGCTGGCGAACGGTAACAACCCCGTCAAGATCCTCCCGTACCTGGGCGACTGCTACGATGGCTTGGCCGACCTTCGCTTCGTCGTCGACGACCCTGCCACTGGGACGCTCTCTACTAAGACAGTGGATACCATGGTGGCCAAAGACAAGGAATGCGTGGCCTTGTACGAACGCTTTACCATGGAAGGTGAAGTGGAGCAGTACTTGAATCGGTTGACGGACGTGGTTGCCGACACCCTTCGGCATAAGCTCGAGGACGGCTTGGAGTCGGCCGTGCATTGGGATGTGGAGAAGCCTCGGGAGCAATGGCTCTTTGATTTTCCCGCCCAGGTAGTGCTGACAGGCACGCAGATATACTGGACGGAGGAGACGGAACGGGCTTTGGAAGACTACGAAAATGGACAGGCGGACGCTGTGAAGCGGTATTTGCAGATATGCAACAGCCGCCTGAGCGCCTTGATACAGCTCGTCCTTGGTGAGCTCTCTCCCGGCGATCGGACCAAGATCATTTCCCTCATCACCTTGGATGTGCATGCCCGTGACGTGGTCCAGAAGCTCATCGACGAGAAGACCGAGGGGCCGAATGCCTTCTTGTGGCAGCAGCAGCTGCGCTTTTACTGGACTCCTCCCCCCACATCGACCTCCCGCATGCTTTCTGCTTGTGGAATGGCTACCAATCCTTCCTCCAGCTTGACCATGCATTCCGGCAGCAATGCGCGAGATGTGGACATAAGAATCTGCGACTATCACTGCAAGTACTTTTATGAGTGGGTGGGCAACACAGGACGCTTGGTCATCACCCCTCTTACCGACAGGTGCTACATCACCCTGACTATGGGCCTTCGACTTTTCTTGGGAGGCGCGCCTGCGGGTCCGGCGGGCACAGGCAAGACGGAGACGACAAAGGACCTCGCCCGCGCGCTAGCCATTCCTTGCTACGTCTTCAACTGCTCGGATCAAATGAATTATCAGACAATGGGCGACATTTTCCGAGGTCTGGCGCAGACGGGAGCCTGGGGCTGCTTCGATGAATTCAATCGGATTCCTTTGGAGGTCCTATCCGTGGTCGCCACCCAGGTGAAAACTATCCAAGATGCCATCGTCAAGTGCTCCATCCCCAGCAACCGGGACCTGGAATACCAACAATTGCCGGGAGGGACGCCCCCGGTCAAGGTAGGCAGCTTCGATTTCATGGGGGATACTATCTCCTTGATCCCGTCTTGCGGTTTTTTCATCACCATGAACCCAGGATACGCAGGTCGTACGGAGCTGCCTGAGAATTTGAAGGCGCTCTTTCGGTCCTGCGCCATGATTCGACCGGATCTGCGCCCCATTTGTGAAAACATGCTCATGTCCGAAGGTTTCCAAAACGCCCGCGGTCTCGCCATCAAATTTGTCAGCTTATACCAGCTTTCCTCCGAGCTCCTTTCCAAGCAGTTCCACTACGATTGGGGACTCCGGGCGGTCAAGTCCGTACTCCGGGTAGCAGGGATGCTCAAACGGGGGGAGCCCGACATGGACGAGGCCCAAATCCTGATGCGGGCCCTCCGAGATTTCAACACCCCCAAGATCCCTGCCCACGACCTTCCCATCTTCCTGCGGCTGATTGCGGACCTCTTCGTGGGGATGGACGAGGTTCCCCACAAAATAAACGAGACGCTCCGGGACAAGGTCCTTCGGGCCACCAGGCTCAAGAAATACCAGGCGGACGATTCCTTCGTCCTCAAGGTCTGCCAGCTCCAGGAGTTGTTGGACGTCCGGCACTCCGTCATGCTCTTGGGGCCGGCGGGGGCGGGCAAGACTGCGATTTGGAAGACGTTGGCCGCGGCGCATAACCTGGACAGCCGTAGTGGCAGCTTTGGTAGGATGGGAGGAGGTTCCTCGGATGAGAAGCGTTCTCAGGTGTGCGTATATGAGACCTTGAACCCGAAGGCCGTATCGAGCGATGAGCTGTACGGCCACATGACGCTGAGTAAGGACTGGAAGGACGGGGTCCTTTCCATCATCATGCGGGGCATGTCCAAGAACATTGCCGAGCAGGGATTTTACGAGCATCAACGGCATAAATGGGTGGTTCTGGACGGGGACATCGACGCGGTGTGGATCGAGTCGATGAACACGGTGATGGACGACAACAAGGTCCTCACCCTCGTCTCCAACGAGCGCGTCCCTTTGTCGGACAGCATGCGTTTGGTCTTCGAAATCAACTCGTTGAAGAATGCCACGCCGGCCACCGTGTCGCGCGCGGGGATTTTGTACATCAACGAGACAGATGTAGGATGGAAACCTCTCGTGCAATCTTGGGTCCAGCTCCGTGCGGACCCCAGCGAACGCGTCCTCCTTCCCGGGCTTTTTGAGAAATACGTGGATGCCCTGGCCGAGATGACCCGCAAAGGCTACAAGGAGGTGACGCCGGTGCGGTTGATCAACAAGGTGTCGACGCTTATCTACATCCTGGAGGGCTTTTTGGACGGAAGTGACGGGGACGGGAACACCGAGACGACGGGCACATCCAAAGGGTCCTTGTCCAATCCAACGTCTGCGTCCAATGCTTGCTGTGTGATTCCCTCGGAGAAGAAGACACCGGACGTCCTGGAACTGGTTTTTATTTATGCGGCCGTCTGGGCTTTTGGAGGGGCCATGGGCGTGGACAAGCAGGCAGACTACCGGAAACAATTCAGCGATGCCTTTGCCATGACCTTCGGCCAGCGTTTCCCAAAAGAAGGGCAATGCTTCGACTACTACTTCGACGTGGATACCCTCTCCTTCCTGCCCTGGACGGCCCGCGTCCCTAAGTATGTACCCATCCCTATCGGGGGGGGTGCAGGCGAGACGGCACTGTCACAGCTCCAGGTGGCCACAGTGGATACTGTCCGACTCTCCTTCTTAATCGACCTCCTGGCGAAGAAGCATCGGCATGTCATGCTCTGCGGGACGGCCGGGACGGGAAAGACGAGCATATTGAGGGAATACTTGCGAAATTTGGACAGAGACGCGGACAAAATGCTTTCCAGCACCGTTAACATGAGCTACTACACAGACTCCGCCAAACTCCAGGGTGAAATCGAGCTAGCGCTTGACCGGCGTTCGGGACGCAAGTACGGTCCCCCCCAGGGCCATCATTTGATCATGCTCCTGGACGATTTGAACCTGCCCTACGTGGAAACCTACGGTACCCAGAACGCCATCGCCCTCTTGACGCAGCACTTGCAGTACGGGGGTTGGTTCGATCGCTCGGACCTGGGCATGCGCAAAGAAGTGGTGGACGTTCAATACCTGGCGGCGATGAACCCCACGGCAGGTTCCTTCTACATTTGTGAACGGGCCCAGCGACATTTCGCCACATTCGCGTGCACCATGCCGTCCAAGACAGACTTGAAAACGATTTACGGCTCTATTCTTGCGGGTCATCTCAAAGGTTTCGCTCCCCGGGTGGAGGAATGCTGCACCAAGATCGTGGATGCGACCATCGCATTGCACGGACAAGTGTTGCAGCGTTTCCTCCCCAGCGCCGTCAAGTTTACGTACAATTGGAACATGCGCGAGCTCAGCAATGTCTTCCAGGGACTGACCTTGGCTCGGTCAGATCTTTACACCACGCCCTTACCGTTCCTGCGTTTGTGGGCCCACGAGTGTGAGCGGGTGTTTGGAGATCGTTTGACGAGCGAAGCCGAACGAGGGATCTTCCAAGATATGCTCACCTCTGTGGCAAACCACACTTTCTCCTCTTCCTCTGAGGACATCGTCGAGTCCCTTGTGCAACGACCTTTGCTGTGCACGAACTTTGTGGGCGGTATCACCTCCTCAGGAAGCACCCCGGGCGGAGAAAGCGTCGGTCTGACGAGCCCGATGGGTTATGTACCAGTGCCAACTTTGACGGAGCTGAAGACGACCTTAAACGGGAAGCTCCAGGAATACAACGAATCAAACGCCATGATGGATTTGGTGCTCTTCGACGAAGCCATGGCCCACGTTACCCGCATCTGTCGGATCATTTCCAACCCCTCGGGACACGCGATGCTGATCGGGGTGGGCGGCTCGGGCAAACAGTCGCTCACGCGGCTCGCTGCTTTCATTTGTGGCTACGAAGTGAAACAGCTGGCTATCACCTCCCGTTTCAAGTTGGAGGATCTCAAAGATGCCCTGAAGGACATGTACAAGTATGCAGGCGTCAAAGGGGTGCCTCTCGTGTTCCTCATACGGGACTCCCAGGTCATCGACGAGCGCTTTCTGATCTACATCAACGCCCTCCTTTCGAGCGGTTGGATCCCTGATCTCCTTGTCAAGGACGAACTCGAAAGCATGCTGGCCAGCATTCGCACAGTGGCTAGGGCCCAAGGCGTGCCTGACACGCCCGCTACCCTCTTGGAATTTTTGATCACGAGGATACGCACCAATCTCCACGTCGTCCTGGCGTTCTCCCCCGTCGGCTCCACGTTTCGGATCCGGGCCCGACGTTTCCCGGCCTTGGTCAATTGCACCGCCATCGATGTTTTCCATCCCTGGCCGCGGGAAGCTCTTGTGTCGGTAGCACAACGCTTCCTAGACGACGTGGACCTGGGCTCCCCCTCCATCAAATCCCAGCTGGCTCTGCACATGGCCGAAGAGCATTTGTCAGTCATGAAGGCCTCCCACACTTTCCTGGAACGGCACCGCCGGTACAATTACGTCACGCCCAAAAGTTTCTTGGAATTGATCGGGTTTTATCGGTATTTGCTTGGCGCCAAACGCAGCGAGGTGGTCCGGCTGGTGGATCGCTTGGACGTGGGGCTCTCCACGCTCAAAAAAACGGCGGCCGACGTCGCGGTCCTGCAGGCCGATCTGACCCTGACATTGGCACGGGTGGAGGAGAAAAAAGCCGCCACTGAGCAGTTGATCGAAGCAATGGGTGCTGAGCGTGCCGAGGCGGAGATGCAACAGGGAGCAGCCACCCTGGAAGCCAGCAAGGCCAACGCGGCGTCGGAAGAAGCTGCTGTGCTCGAGAAAGAGGCCTCGATAGAGCTGGCAGCCGCCGAGCCCGCCATGAAAGCCGCAGCAGCTGCTGTCGACGTGCTAAGTAAAGCGATGTTGACAGAGCTCAAGAATTTGAAGACCCCCCCCGCGGGAGTCGACACGGTGACCACGGCTTGTCTGATCCTGGTGGAAAAGGAGTACAAAAATCACAAGTGGGAGCGGGCCAAAAAAATGATGGCGAACATCGACCAGTTCAAAAACAAGCTCATGGCTTTCAAGGGGGAGACCATCCCAGAAGAGGACATTAATCGGGTCACGCCGTTCATGTCCCTGCCGGATTTCTCCCCGGAGGCCATGTCGAGTAAGTCTGCGGCCGCTGCGAATCTGTGCACCTGGGTGGTGAACATGTACAGATACAACCGTATTTACGTCAAGGTCAAGCCCTTGATGGATACATTGGCAGAAGCCCAAGCTACCAAGGCGAGCGCGGATGCTTCTTTGGCAGTGGCTTCCGCAGCGGTTACCGCGGTCCAAGAACGTTTGGCAGTGCTGGAGGAGCAGTTCGTGGCAGCGACAGAGGAGAAGGCCAAAGTGGAAGCAGAAGCAGCGGCATGCCAAGAACGTTTGAGCCTCGCAGAGCGACTGGTGAACGGCCTGAGCTCGGAAAATACACGGTGGGGAGGTGAAATTGAGCGACTGAAAGAGAGAGCCACGACCTTGGTAGGCGACTGCATGGTCGCAGCCGGCTTCGTCTCCTACCTGGGGGCCTTCGACCAGGATACCCGGGAGAGTCTATGGAAGGGGGTATGGACGCGAGATTTGATCGAGCGGGGAGTGCCCTTGACACCTGGCCTCGACCCTGTGAGTATGCTCTCCAACGACGGTCATGTCGCTCAAATGATTCGGGAAGGATTGCCGGCAGATCGCATCAGTTTAGAAAACGGCGCGGCCATCACCAACTGCAAACGCTGGCCCCTGATCATCGACCCGCAGACACAAGGCATCAAGTGGCTTCGACAAAAGGAGGCCGGGAACCGACTTCTGGTCTTACAACTCTCTCAGAAAGATTGGGCGAAAAAAATGGAGAAAGCGCTCTCCACGGGCCAGACGGTGATTCTGGAGAACGTGGGGGAGGAATTGGATTCCACCTTGGAACCCGTGCTGACACGGGCCATCTACAAGAAGGGACGGAAGCTGTACATCAAGTTTTGCGGGGAGGAAGTAGAGTTTGACCCGGCATTTCAACTCTACTTGCAAACCAGGTTGTCCAACCCCCATTACCGGCCGGAGGTCTTTGCCCAATGCACGCTCATCAACTTCATCGCCACTGAACGCGGGTTGGAGGAACAGCTTTTGTCCAAGGTGGTGGCGGTCGAACGGCCCGAACTGGAAGAAAAAGCCCAGCTGTTGCAGCAAGCCTTCCAACGCTACAAGATCCAGCTGGTGGAGCTGGAGGACGACCTCCTTGAACGGTTGGCCAATGCCCCGGACGACATTTTGAGCGACGTGCCGTTGATTGAGGGCTTGGAAGCCACCAAAGCTGCCGTCCTGGAAATCAACACGGCGGTCAGCGAAGGGAAAACCACCGAAGGGCTCATCAACGAAGCACGGGAGACGTACCGAAGCCACGCGGCCGAAGGCGCCATGCTCTATTTTTTGCTCACCCAGCTCTCCAGCATCGATCACATGTACCAATACTCGCTCGATTCGTTCGTTTTCTTCTACTTGAAATCCATCAAAAAAGCTCTTCCGGCAGACACGGAGGAAAAGCGGGCCATGAACTTGCGGGTGTCCTTGCGCATGACTGTGTACACGTGGGTGAGCCGAGGGCTCTTCGAACGTCACAAACTCATATTCCTCGCGCAACTGACCTTCAATCTGCTCAAACGAGGACTCTTGCAAGGGGAAACGGCGCCGTCGTCTTCCCTTTCGGCCCCCACTGCTGTGACCCCGGAGGGGGGCCTGAAAGTGCCGGAGGCCCATTTCCAATTCCTTCTTCGATGTCCCCAAAAACCCGTGCCAGACAACCCGTTGGGCTGGCTCCCCATGTCCGCGTGGCAGGCCGTGCAAGCCTTGACGGAACTCGACGGCTTCGGGAAACTAGCCCAGGATATGGTGGAGGCAAGCCCGCGCTTCCGAGAATGGTACAACGCCGTGGCTCCCGACATGGAGAAGTTACCCCTGGAATGGGCCGGCCTAGACAGGCAACCTTTTCAGAAAATGATGGTGGTGCGTTGTCTCCGTCCGGACCGTGCGAATGTCGCCTTGACCAATTTCATTCGTCAGCTTCTTCCCCATGGCGACGCTTACACGGACTGCGACGCCACCCTCAGCGCGTTGGAGGTTGCAGAGCAGGCGTTGCAAGATGCGACACCGGCCACCCCTTTGTATTTCATCTTGAGTGCGGGGGCCAACGTGGTGGGCGTCTTGGACCGGTTGGCCGAGAAGTACGGCTTGGTGAAAGGCGTGAGCTACCACAACGTGAGTATGGGCCAGGGTCAGGATGTGGTGGCCATGGCCTGCCTGGAAAGCGCGCACCGGAACGGGCATTGGGTGATCTTGAACAACGTGCATTTGATGCCTCGCTGGATGGAGGAACTGGAGAAGAAGCTCGACGAATTCGCCCAGGAAGGGGGTAGCCATGCGAAAATGCGCTTGTTCTTGACCTCGGACCCGGCGGTGAGCATCCCGATTGGCATTTTGAACCGATGCATCAAGGTGACGAACGAGGCGCCTGCGGGGCTCAAGGCGAATTTGAAACGTGCCTGGTCGAACTTCCCCAAGCAGGACATCGACGACGCAGACTCTCGAACGAGGGGGGTCCTCTTCGGCCTCTGCTATTTCCACGCCCTGATGGTGGAACGGAAGCTCTTTGGGCCTATGGGCTTCAATATGAACTACCCCTTCTCCTTGGGTGACCTCCGGGACTCCGCCGCCTGTCTCCACAACTACCTTGAAAGCGCCAACGGAGGGAGCAAAGTGCCCTGGCACGACCTCAAGTACATCTTCGGCGACATCATGTACGGGGGGCACATCGTCAACGATTTCGACCGGCTCGTGGCCAAGACCTACCTCGACCACCTGATGCGCGACGAGCTCCTGGACGAGATGCAGCTCTTCCCCTACGTGACCCCCGGGGACCGGGCATCCTTCTACTGCCCGCCTTCCACGACCTACGACAAATATATGGACTATGTGGACCGAAATCTGGTCGTGGACACGCCCATGGCCTTTGGCTTGCACCCCAACGCGGAGATCGGCTTCCGGACGCGGCAGGGGGAAAAACTCTTCGCCACGCTCTTGGAATTGCAGCCCCGGGAGGGAGGCAGAGAAAAGGCGGAGGGGGTGGAGGAAGGAGGGGCGGAGGACGGGGAGGAGGGGGGTCCCGGAGGCGGTGCGGCCGGTGGGGAGACCCCCCAGGCAGTGGCAGAGCGGGTGGCGACCGAGATTTTGGATCGCTTCGGCGAGCGACGGCTGGATGTGGACGAGGTCCATCGGGCCTTGGACGGGGACGAGGGTCCTTACCAAAACGTCTTCCTCCAAGAAATGGAGGCCTTGAACGCCCTCCTCACGTTCATGACCCTCTCCTTGCGAGAACTCCTTCTGGGCCTGGGGGGGGAATTGGCCTTGAGCGACAAAATGGAAAGCTTGCTCCACGCCCTGTACCTGGATGCGGTCCCCGACCCCTGGCTCCACCTCTCTTGGCCCTCCCGCCGGCCGCTGGGCGGGTGGCTGGCCAACCTCCACAGCCGCCTCCAGCAGCTGGAAGAGTGGCAACAAGCCCCTCAGGAACTGCCCAAAGTGACCTGGCTCGCGGGACTCGTCAACCCGCAAGCCTTCTTGACCGCCGTCTGTCAAGTCACCGCCCAGAAAAACGGCTGGGCCTTGGACCAACTGGTGATCGCGACGGAGGTGACCAAGAAAACGACGGCGGAGGAAGTCGACCTCCCTTCCCGAGACGGCGCCTACGTGGTCGGCTTGGCCTTGCAAGGCGCTCGGTGGGATTCGGCCACGGGCGGGATCGAACCCGCGCGGCCCAAAGAAATGTTCTCCCCCCTCCCCGTCCTCCTCGTCCGGGCGGTGCCCCAAGAACAAATCGACCGACGCGCCTACGCCTGTCCCGTGTTCAAAACAGAGGATCGAGGCCCCACCTACGTCTTTTCGGCCCAATTGAAAACCAAATCGCCACCGGCTCGCTGGATCCTGGCGGGGGTGGCCTTGATCATGGACGTGGCGGGGGGGTAGGGGGAGGAGGGGGAGGAGGAAGGGGGGGCAGGACGGGGGAAGGGCGAGGGGAAAGGAGGAGGGAGGAGGAAGGGAAGGAGGGAGGGGAGGTAGGGCACCGGGGAAAGGAAAAGAGCCGGCCCGAGACTATACAAGGCCGACAGGGAGGTAAAAAAGAAACGAATGACCCGTATCCATAACCCTTGCCTTAGGAGATGGCGTTTCAACGACGCTGTGCAGCCAGCCCCGTCTTCTTCCTTACTCCCTCCCCCCCTGAAGCTGTGGCTCAAAGCCGATCCTCTTCCCCCGGCGTGCCAATCAGATTCCCAGACTGCCGGGCGGTCACAACCTCTTTATCTACCGGATGTATTTTTAAAAAAAAAAAGGTGGGAAAAGGAGGAGAGGCAAAGGAAAAACGTCCGACCCTGCGTGCGGTGAGCCGAGTGAGTCCTCAAGCTCGACGTGGACGTTCCCAGCGTCTTCTTCACCCCTTGAACAACGTCATTATTTCTTGCCTTCTTTCTCCTTACCCCAGGTCCAGCTTGAAAGGCCCGCCTTCTCCCTCTTTCCCTTCTTTCTCCCCCTTCCTCCCTCCCTCCCTTCCTCCCTCCCTCCCTCCCTCTCTCCCTCCCACTTTCTCCCGTTCCACCTCCTCCTCTATCCTCCCCTCCCCCGTATCGTCCTTCTCCGTCTTCTTCCAGAGGGGCTTGGAGGGCGCCTCGCGCCGGGTCGGCATGTGGCTTAGGATAGCCGGAACTCGCGAGGCTTGGACTAAGGTCTGGCTCCGGAC